GGGGGGGGGGGGGGGGGGGGGGGGGGAGAGGGGGGAGATAACATCTAATTTATTTTATTAAATAAGGAAGGTTCAGACAACTTCTGCTTTCAGATAAATAGTAATAGCAGTTAGACTTATATACCGCTTCATAGGGCTTTCAGCCCTCTCTAAGCGGTTTACAGAGTCAGCATATCGCCCCCACAGGCTGGGTCCTCATTTCACCCACCTTGGAAGGATGGAAGGCTGAGTCAACCTTGAGCCGGCGAGATTTGAACCGCCGAACTGCAGATAGCAGTCAGCTGAAGTGGTTGCAGTACTGCACTTTAACCACTGCGCCACCTCGGCTCTAAAGGGAAAATCTGGTTTTTTTTCAGACATTCAAGGATCTGCTCTACAGGGTTAGCCATCTAGATTAACTTTTGAGATAACATTTGGTGGAAAATCAGCAACTGTCCTCCTAGACGTCTCAGTGATGGCACCTTTGGATGAACATGATGGCAGATGGAAAGTCTGCAACGGGTACTAGGTCTTATAAACTTTGGGATAGACAAGACCAGCAGCAGAGTGACTTTTGATGGATTTTAGAATGAGATAGAGCCCAGAAAACAAAGATATGAAGGCAAAGAAATAAGCAGGAAGTTTTTCTGAATTGTAATGAGACAAATATCAACATACTGAATAGTTTGTTTTACCAGAGATAGCCTCATTTTTGACATAAGATCCTATACTTCAACAAAATCCATCTAATTGATATATACTGCTTCTATCAAGTCAGTATTGATTTGTCATAATGAGGGCTAATTTACTGAGGAATTTAAAGGATGAAGATCAACTAAGTTTTATTCTCAAATGTAAAGAATCTTATTACATTTCAAAAGGAAGAGAAAGACTGCTTTAATCCACTTCATTTAGTTGTTACAGATTACTAACATCCAATTCTAAATCATTCAATCTCATAGTTACAGAACAACAGCATTTAACACACCTACCATGTTCAATAATTTCAACCAAACTCCTGAGATGGGGTAAAATTGCACAACCCATAAGAATAGCAATTTGCTGCACAATCTTGATGCCAGTGTGTCTGGCTTGCCAAGACTTCTTGCTTTTGCACACAGCTTTTAAAAATGGTAACAAGGATGGAATTCCTAGGGCAGAAGCAACAACAGCAAAAGCTCGAGCTGTTGTGTTACGAACATATTCATCCATGTTATCAATATCAGGTCGCATGGTAGAGATCATTGTTGCCAGCCCAGCTGCCTGAATGGACCAAAAAACATAAGAATCTGTTAATCCAACCTTAAACCAAAAACACTGATGCCCCATATTTGCCATTATTGGTTGCTTTTCAATGATAGAATATGGCTTAAAGTGAAACATTCTTGTTCTTAACAGGTCAATTTTATGTGCATATCAATAGATCAATTCAAATTGTAGACAACCATTTGGCATATCTGTTCCTCCACCTGTAAGCTAGTATCTGTTAGTATCAACCCAATAGATTAGAAAGACATATTACCTTAGCCAAGTTGGAAATGATTTCTCTGCCTTCCACTCTAGCATAATAATCTTCATCAATCAGCAAAGGTTCAATGACCACAAGAATCTAAAAGAAATTTAATGAAAGTCAAAACTCATGGAAATTAATGTTTGATACAAATAATGTAATATTAATTTTGCAAGCACAAACAAAGCCTGTCTCTTGTAAGATAAACACTTAACAATCTAAATCGATAGCTTAAGAATTCGATTTAAAGGTTAATTTTGGAAAACTATACACACAGAGAGAGAGAAAGAAAGAGAGAGAGAGAAACCATCTGAACTAATCATTTAACAAGATAGCAATTCATAGGTAATACTAAAGAGTCTTTTGAAGGACTGTTTAAAACCTGTGGCTTGCCTGCTCACTCTCTGTTGCTTATATGGCTGGGGAGTGGAAGAAATTAAGGTTCATTTCAACTATCTCAATATTTAATCAATTAAAATGATACATTTAACCAATTGCTAAAAAAAAGGCCAACCCCATGGACTTTAAAAAAAAAAGCCTATAATTTGTTTCTAATCACAATGCTCTGTTTTTACACAGTGCTAATTCTCCTATCATTTGGAAGAAAGTGAAGGGAAAGGAAAGGTGCATGAATCAAAATTACACAAAGATTAGAAGCTTGCACATGAAATCCTATATCCTAGAAGAGTGTTACACTGCAATTATAGCCAGTGTCATTCTACATTTACGTACAAAATATAGTTAAAATTATGAGTTTACAAGTATGCAACACGCTGAAATACTACATTCAGAGACACAAACCTTGTGCACATATGGCCGGACTAAGTCATCCAACTTATATAAGATTCTGTCAATAACTTTCACAAGCAAGTGGCGTTCTTGATCTTCAAGGGTTGGAGACATCAGAAGGGGCAAAATTTGATTGAACAATGGGCCAGCTCCAAATTCTCGAGCTTTGTCAGTAATCTGTCGCAAAGCAGCCTATGGAAGCAGAAGAAAAAAAGCATAGTATTATATATAGTCTGTTCACTCCAAACATCTACCAAGTCAAATAATCAGTTATAAAGGTACATTGCTGTTACATTTAACACCACAGTGCATTTCTAAACAGGAAGCATTTTAATTATGAAACGTAAAGCAAACAAGTGTATTTCAGAAGAACAGTGTCAGGCCTGCAGCCGGTTGCTTTTAGGATCTTTGGCCTGCCACACTAATATTCTTTTCTACTAGTCTGTTTCATTAGAAGGAAATTGGGAGGGGAATAGTAAGGAGTAGAATGTGTTGTTGTCAAAATAAAGAAAAAATCCTTTCTAGAAGCCCAAGGTCATCCTTTGTCTCTACTCCTCTGAGCCTGACCAGAACTGGATGGGTGAAACTACCAGTGTGGAAGTGGAAGATTGGACCATGTGATGGATTTGTGGGTGTGGGGGCAAGATCATGACCTTTCAACTGGGTGGAAAACCCAGGAAGCTTTCAGATTCGGGTTTTCCACAGATGTGCCAACATGTCTCTCTTAATAATTTGGAAGTTTGAGGAAAGTTCTGCCTTGGACTCTGATTTAATTTTGGATGATATTTGGAACGCTGACATTAACCCGAATCTCTCTTAAAATAAATCACCAGCAACGCCGGCACGGGGGTGCTGGTGAGGGGTGCTGACTCCCAACACTGACCTGACCCGGTCAGTGTAAAGTATCAGCGAAGATGAAAATAGAGCCTTTGAGAATGGAAGCAGAGGACAATGATTGGAACCTCCCAGACCAACTTGTGTAGCCAAACATGAGTGGATGCTCCCTCTTCTTCCCCAGCCAAGGCTCGGCAAAAAACTGGAGTGGAGATTTTGTCTCCTTACATACAGTGATAAATGAAATGACCCATTACCCTGCAATTGAGTCGAAGACAGATTCCCTATTAACATGGGGAATTCAACCCAGCCAGCAGGAAGGGGTTTGGCCAACATATCTTCCTAATCAGCCATCGATGTTTGGGCTGCAGCCTGTGAATCAAGCACCACCAGATTGGGCTTTCTTCCCAGGTCAAGGATGGAAGAGATGTCAGTGGGCACCTGCTTGGCCACCAACATGGGAAAATCAACCC